ACTAGGCACATACATACATACATATATGTCATACATATTTTTATTTGTAATATATATACACATACATATTTACATGCGTGTGCTTATTCGCAATTAATTTTTCTATCTCATGCGAGTAGTTTTGGAGAAGTATCTGTGTGCCGTCACTCTGACGTAAAAGTGTGTTTGATAAAGTGCCAAATCTGCGCAACACTATTTCGTCGAATAATTGAAATGCATCAACTGCAGACGTTTATTGCCAAGAATTTCCAAAAATAATCAAGTTAAGATGCATAAGTTTACATATTTACACATTTGGATGTGGATATAAATCTAGAAGATGTATGTGTGCATGTAAATTGTTGACTGCATGCACCATAAAATTGTAATTGTAATTTGCGTATAGGCATACCCAGTAGGAAAAACGCACTTAAGTCATTTGTAGTYCTCTCAATTTTTATACACAAACTTTTCTCTTGCTTACTCTTTAGTTTACCCAGAACTTTTGCCAGTTAATTGAAGCTTCTCTGCCTCTAAGTTGAAAAATTTGCCTGGCAAGTCCACAGCTTTCCTACAGGGTGCCTACAACMAAAAATTGTATTTACAAGAACTCACATAAACGCTTTTATATATACATATATATTTGTGTGTTTGTCGGCGTATGTGAGCGAAGGTGTTTTGTATGGCCCATAAAGATTTGTTTGTAAACATTTTACATTATACGCCTAAATATTTGCTCATCCATAAAGTAAGTGTATATTTAGAGGAACAAGAAGAAGAAAAAATTAAGAAAAACTTGTTTGCATTTTAGATAAAAAATACTCGTGGAAATTCTTCAGAATGCAAGCAAAGCACGCAATTTAATCATTTTCGTTTCAGCTCTAGCATTTTGTGTTACAATTTTCGAAATATCTGCTGAATTATTAAGTGAACTTCAATCGTCGATAAATACGAAATTAATTTCAAATTCGATGTTAAAAATCAAAAATTCATAGAGTTTTATCGTTGCACAAGTTTAATTATTGTGACGAAGATATTGGAAATTTATCGATATTTCAAAAAATATTTATCGATATATGTAAGCATATCGATTACCGATATAAATTAATTTTTTATATATATCGATATCATTGGTCGGTATCATTATATCCAAAAATAATAGGTAAGGTAAAGTTAATCTGTTCATAGACCAGTTTTGATTCTTTGCGWTACCAGATGTAGTTCAGTTACTACGTCCCACCGGTTTTGCTGTGCAGTTCTCAGCGCAGAGGTCTATAGGTGGCAGCTTTAGTACCAGTTAAAGAGCCGCCTTTGAAGTTRTTCTTAAAGTTCCCGTTATGTACAGCGCAGCGAGCCTCTGAACCCTTTCCATTGGCTTCCGGCAGGTTCCGACTTGTGAACATAAGCAGATCTGTTTTCTTCGGGTTCAACCTCAGACCTGCTTTCAATGCCCAATTATGGACTGTCTTGAGAGTGGTGGTCATAGTACTGCTAATGGTCTGAAGACACCTACCCTTTATTAAGATGACAATACCTTCCGCATATACCACTATCATAGGCGCTTTGCCGTCTAAGTTCCTTAGCAGTTTATTCATCACTAATGTCCATGGAAGCACAGTATCTCTACAGACGTTTCGTCATTCTAGCGTCTTGCTCCTCTAGAGGTCAAAAGCCTTCTGATCCAGCATTGTATAGCAGGATGAGCACCTATTGACTGGATACTTTTCAGAATAACTCCGTAAAGGCGTTATTGAACGCTTCAGAAATGAACAACAATGCTCCAAGAGCGTATTCCTTATATTCAAGAGCCCTTTCGATATTAAATGCCAGTGCATGGAGAGCAGTCTCTATCGATCTGCCCTTCGTACATGCGAGTAAATGGTGATCCATTACTTTTTTAAAGTAAAAACATAGAAACTTCAAATTGAATGAGACATTTTTATTATCATTCGAGTRAACATCTTTTGGCATTTATTTTTTAAATATTATCTCTTTCACATGTTAGCCGCGGTTACGTCTCAGACGCTTTATCCGTTGGGTCCAATTTTCGATGACTCTTTCGAGAGTTTCGACTAGTAATATTTGGATATTTTGCTCCAATGCCCGAAACGAAACGAGATTGTTCCCATAAACTTTAGACATATCTCTACACCATTTAGGTGGTCAATCGATAGGTTCAAAACGTAAAATTGTCTGCAAAGTGTTTTCTCAATAAATTCCTTTATTGATGCGATGTATGGGAAGCCGCCTTGTCGAAACCAAATGTCGCCGAGATCACGAGCATCAATTTCWGCCATCAAATAGTCGAATAGATCGACGTTGCATAATTTTTGAAGAAATCCGGGACACAAAGCATTGAGTTTTCTTTATGAAATGGCAGCTCTTGAATCTCTTCCGGTTATTCTTCGTCTCAAATKCGGTAAGTTTGCTTGTTTACATATCCATTGAGCCAAAAATGAGCATCATTGCCAAACAGAATTTGGCCCGAAAATTCGGATCTTAATGGAACATTTCAAGAGCGATTAGAGCGAGGCGTTGCTGCTTTGAAARTTCGCGGCGCTTCTGTTTTTTCACAAGCTGTATTTTGTACGCTTTCAATTTAAGATCTCTACGTAAAATGCGCCAAATCGTTCCATTTCTCAGTCTAAGTTGTTGCGAAMGGCGCCGAACCGACTCTTCACGGTYTTCGTGTACACTCTCAGTTATRTATTCTTCACTGCGCGCTGGACGTGRTCTACTYGGTCCAAAAYTAYCCAACAATAGTGCCTGGGTCGCAAGTTGGGTGATTGTGTTGCGAATAGTTTACCGATTATGTTGACCATAAGTAGAGTGAARCGCGCGAAACACATTCTTTAAAGAACGTGAATTTCCGTAATAAAGTTGAACGATTTGTAAACATTGTTCAGACGTAAGTCTCTCCATGATGAAATGCCAAAGAATACTGAAGAAAAATAACAAAAATATTCAACAAGACAGCTTGACACGACTCACGCGTGTTCTGTCAAAAAAAACAAAAAAAAAGGTTATTGAAAAAAATAACTGATCGGAACTGTGCCAAGATTGACTATTTATATTATGCCTCGTATTTTTATTTAAAAATTTTCCAAAATGTTTTTAAATGTTGTTCGTAATCTAATTGTAAAAATAATTAAAGAACAACTGAATTCTATTATTGGGTTGCTAACATATTTATTGCCCACCCACGCACACATAGCTACTTTTATACATGCATACATASATAAATATGTGTGAAATTGTAAGCTGAAGGTAAAAATGCTAAATATTCGAAAATAATATATATCGAAAAAAGCAAAGCTAATTCGAAGAAAAATCTAATTTAACTAAAATCAAACAAGCTGTTTACATTTTCTGTTTTTACTTGTTTTCGCTTTGCAGCTGAATTAATGAAAACGATGATAAAAAAAAAATTAAAATTTATGTCAGAAAAATTTTCCAAAATTTTTGAAAGCCTTTTTATGGCATTATGATCATTCTGTTATGAAGTGTGAATGAAAATTTTGGAATAAAATTTAAAAAATGCCATAAAAAATATAATTTAATAAACAAAAATTCAAAATTTTCCAAATGCATTTTTTTAAATATTGGAAATATTATAATTAAAGAAAATCACAAAAATCAATAAAACAACAATTTACAACTTTAAATATAATCATAATAGAGCAGCAACTCATGCGAAAGTCTGTATCACATATTCAAATATATTTTATTATTTACTTCAAGCGTTTGTCATTTATGTGCATTATTTAAGTCAACTCCGCGGCAATATTTCAGCGGCCAACACTGAATAACTCATTAAATCATATTAATTTCAAATTTCGACACATAATCAGTGGCCATAATATTAATTTTGCTGCGCCACAGCTTTGTTTACTACAAATATTYCCCTGCTTGCGTGTGCGTAGGAAACGCGTGTGTTGCCATGGCGTATGAGTAATTTATTTAAATGTTGGGCAAAATTCAATGCGCCAACGCGATTTCAAATGCTTATACCGAAATTGTGGTTTTATTTATATTATTTTAATAATATGCAAGTATGTATGTATTTAATGTGTTTATTTAAATGCATTTGGTAGGGTGTGCAGGTAGGGGTGGAGAGAAGCAGGAATCGATATTTTTGAACTACAACAGGAAACTGCAATTTGATACATCCTCTCCACTAATTTTTTTTTTTTTTTTTTTTTTTTTTTTTTTTTTTTTTTTTTTTTTTTTTTTTTTTTTTTTTTTTTTTTTTTTTTTTTTTGTTAGTTTTCACACGATTAATATGAAACAAGAAAAAACGTTAACTTCGGTTGCACCAAACCTCAATACCCTTCACAGGTGTTAGTAACTATGTGTTCAGTTTGTATGGAAGCTATATGCTATAATGATCCGTTCTGAACAATTTTTTTGAAGATTACATATATTGTTAMTTTAAGCTGTAATCCATGSCAAATTTCGTGCYGATACGACGWCAAATGCGAAACTTTTCCATACAAGCCCTTGATTCCGATCGTGCGGCTTGTATGGCAGCTAYRTGCTATAGTGAGCCGATCTGAACAATTTCTTCGGCGATAACATTATTGTCKCATAAAATAATCTRTACCAAATTTCGTGAAGATATCTTGTCAAATGTAAAAGTTTTTCATGCAAGAACTTGATYCCGATCATTCAGTTGGTATAGCAGATAAATGATATAGTGGTCCGATATCGGCAGTTTCGACAAATGAGCAGCTTCTTGAAGAGAAAATGATGTCTGCAAAATTTTAAGGTGATATCTTAAAAACTGAGGGACTAGTTCATATATGTACAGACAGACAGACAGACGGACATGGCTAAATCGACTCAGCTCGACATACTAATCATTTATATACTATATGTGTACTTTGTAGGGTCTCCGACACTTCCTTCTGGGTGTTACAAACTTCGTGACAAACTTAATATACCCCGTTCAGGGTATAAAAAAAATATATATAAATGTTTTAAGCATATTTTTGATTTCTTTATAATTTCTTCTCCGACAGAAACTGGAACCGTTTCCAAATGTCACCTATGCATTTTGTACATTCTACGAGGATAATTTGATCATCAGCCAAACCAGCTATCAGCTGATATTCTTCGCCTGTTCGTATCTGCTGCCGCTCATGGCAATTAGTGGCCTCTATGTGCGGATGATTATGCGTCTGTGGCATCAGGGGAGCGGCGTACAGATGTCTGTGAAATCGCAACGTGGCCGCAAGCGTGTCACACGTCTCGTTGTGGTCGTTGTTGTGGCATTCGCATCGCTATGGCTGCCAGTACAGGTGAGTACCGTTAATGCTACGCCGCGAGCATATTTTATACGCTTGTGTGCAAATTTGCACTAATTTACAATAAAAGTAAAACTAAATGTTTTTAATTATGGTTGTGTCATGTATTTTGCATGACTCACTTCATTTTTGGTTTCGCAAAAGCTTTTGGGGAGCTTCGGTTTGTTCAAAATTTAATGTTACTTTTAGCGAATAGTAAAATATTTGGTATATTCTTTTGTGTTTGCAAGAATAACTAAGCGCAGTATTTACCATTCCAATTGAGTCAGATCTAAGATTGGAGTAAAATTGACATTTGAACTCATATTTCCGTCAACSATAGAAACCAATAAATCTGAAAAGCACAGAAAATGAAATCAGACGTTGAAAAAATAGAAGTAAATATTAAAAAAGAAATTTTGAAATTTTTAGAAAAAAAAAAAAAATTTAAACCGATGACCTCTCGTAAAGAGGATGGCGCATAACTCCTTACAGGATCATCTAAAGTGAAAAGTTACGTATTTTAGTTAAAACCTTAGCTGAGAACCTGGACGAAGGGAAAATACTGAGAAATGCATTTCTGGCAGACATTTAAAAAAAAATTTAATTTCAGTGAAAATTTCACGACATTGTTTTTTTTTCAAATAGTTGTAATCGCAAAAAATTCTTCGCCCAAGTCTTTAAGAATTATATCTAGTTGGTTTGGTTGAGTATCTCTCGAGAAATCTTGCCAGCCGACTTGAAAACACAGTTTCGAGAAAAACGCGCTCAAAGACGGCGCACTTAGCCTAGCTAGCCWCGAGCGCACAGTTATCAAAGCTGTATCTCCGAAACTATTACTCAAATCAACTTGAAAATTTAGAGCAATACATATTTTAGGGGTATTAAAGAATTTAATAAGACAATAAAAAACTCGATTTTTTTAAAACCGTAAACCCATGTAATTCCTTAATTACCGTTAGCTTGGCTCAGCGCTGATCTTTTTGACTGTTTTCACCTGAGATTTTCATACGAAACCTACTTTTCGTCACCAGTAACCAACCGCTTGTGAAAAGGATCGATTTTGGTACGATTCAGCAGCGATTCGCAGATTGAAATTTGTTCCTTGAATACTTCACTTTTTAAAATGTTACCAAGTAGCCTTTTTGCGCCATGTTTAGTTTCTTTGCAATCCAAACAAGGCTTACACGACAGTCGTCTTCCAAATTGTTCTGTTTTTTGGAAAGCGTGAGTACAGGAACGGACTCGACGATACCGAAACCACGCTTGGCTTGCATTTTTGCCATTATSGAAAAATAATTTTTTTTTCAACTGCTAATGTCCATCATTGATGCGTAATAAACTTAATACCAGCACTACCTAGCGACTTAAATAATATATTTTAACATTATCAAAATATATTTTCAGCATAAATCAAGGTATGACCAAAAAATTGTAAGACAATCTTAATTTATTCTTCAAAATCTGTGCCCTCCTCCTCTAAGTAATACCCTTCCATTGTCTCACAACTCTCAACATAACCTTGATTTTTGACCTGCTTTCAAATAGATTTCCGGCTTCGGCTGCCCTTGCTACGATATTCGGCAAGAAGATCGTCTGTTTCCGAGCCGCAAGCATGACGTCCTGCTAGTCGGAAAATATTGTTTCACAGAAGATAACGCAATGCGGATTTTCGGAAAAATTTACGTGTTTCCACTTTTCTTCGATCCAATTGATCTCTGAAAATGGGTTTCACTGATCCCTTCGATATTACTACGATGCCAGTAAGATCTCGGACTGTTAATGATCGATATTCAAGCGCCAATTCGTTGATTTTATTGACATGTTGCTCATCAGTTGATGATTATGACCGTTCTCGACCCCATTTGACCAATTCGAACCAATCAAAAATACTTGCTCTCTACAATTATTACCGAAAGACTTTTCCAACATTCTCAACGTTTCGGCTAGTTTGATTAGGTTTGTTGAATAATTTCACTTACCATAAAAATCGTCGCATGTGTACTTCAGAAATTTAAACGTATGCTAAACACTAATGAATGTTTTGATGTGACATTTGGCACAGTTATCACTGAGTCATACCACTTTAAAAAAAACAAAACAAAAAAAAAAAACATTTCCACGAATGAGTTTTCGCGCGAAATTTTAATTAATGAATGTTTTTTTTTTTTGACGATTGACATCAATCAAAGCCATAATATATTTGTATTATATTATATATGTATTCATCGATATACATATAAAGTGTTATTCGGAAATCACCTTATTGGGTATATTGGTCTTAAAAGAAGTATTGAACCGATTTTATTATTTCAGCTACATACTTTATTAATGGCCGAAAAAAATGTTCACTGGCATCAATAAAATATTATATCTAACACATTAGCCCTCATTTTCGCTTCAAAATCAGCCGTATGTACACACATAATTTATAAATCTGCACTCATAGAAACTGTGTGTAAATACGAGCATATTTCAATTAATCAGCGCACTGATTCTGGTATATATGACTAACTTCCTGTAAAGAAAAAATTAAATATTTATATGCATTTAAAAACAATATACTATATCAGCTCATATATAAATATATAGTACACAACTATAAGCATAGTCGGCTGATTGCTGGCCTACCAATTCATTAAATGTCCTTTATTTCATTATAATTCCCCATTAATCCACTTTTAAATGCGTCCGCCTATTTACACTGCACTCCAATTTAAATCTTTTTCACTCGCCTCCGCACACACTTATTCACTCGGCTCGCCTTTACTGGTCGCTCATTATCATTGTACGCTTTTATCTCTCATTTCATGTATCCGCAATCAGCTGATTTTGCTGCTGAAAACGCTCGGCATCTATCATTCGAACACGAAATTCAAACTTCTGCTGCAAGTCATCGCCCAAACGTTGGCCTACATGAGCTCCTGCATCAATCCGTTGTTGTATGCCTTCCTCTCCGACAACTTCCGCAAAGCTTTCTATAAGGTGAGTACCATCATTTGCTGCCGTACTTGATATATTTATTATTTATTTATTCATAAATATTAATTGAATTAATTATAAGCAGAGTTGCATTTGTGCTGGCGTAAATATTGTCAGTATTATTAAAATCCGAACTGCCGGCGATTTATGTCAATAAATATTCGTAAACAAATGTAGCTATTTGCATAACAAAGCGATTACTCACCATTATTCGCCGTCGGTTCGGCTTTATTATTATCAACGCCACTTTTCACAAGTACTTTTGTGGCAATACTTTTGCGACTCTTCTTCACTAGGTCAGCATTTCATTTTGTTGAATTGATTGTAGCCACGAGGCTGTTGCTATTCCTATTGTTGTTTGCTGTTATCGCCCTGTTTATTTCACTTGTGGCTTTGGATAAATAAAGCGAAGAGCTGTTCAGATTAAGGTCAGCAAGCTTATGCGTAGACCAGTTTTGAATCTTTGCGATACCAAATAGAATGCAGTTACCGGTCCATGAGTAGTCATTCTTTAGGATTCCTTCAGTGTTTCATATCGTAGGGTCCCCAGACACTTACAGCGTCGTCTTGCTAATGCGGTACAARTGCACAAGAGATGCTTCATTGTGTSCCTGCTGCTTTGCTCTAGAYATTTYCTGCAGWCGTSAGTTGTMTYGCAGRCGTWGACTTTCTGCAATATGTTTTAGTAGAAAACAGTAATTTTTACATAATTTCTTATATAGATTTAGTACTCTACCAACTTTGTAACTTCTCTCCATTCTAAGATCTTGTGAAATTTTGGCCTTAACTTTTTCCAAGTGGAAGCGAGCATCTCTCCAAAATCGTTTACTACAAATACAACAGTTTTCTTTTCTTTATATACCCATTAACGCGAAGCAGCAATGCTTACGACCAGTCGGCTCATGATTTTAGGMCATTGGAGCCAGGCGAGACGTCACTACGGGCAAGGTACCATACTCGACGTTGTTAATGGCCCCTAAACAAGCTGGCATTGCAACTGAGGAAAGGGACCCAAAAGGAACTCAACAAATTGTTTTCATTCTCCTAAGCAGGTAGCCAAGCGGTAAATAAAGCCATCCGTGGTGCCAAGACTTACTCTTATTGCGTTAAGTTATGCAAGCAGGCAAAAGCCAGACATTTAGTAGGTGCATAAATCGGTTAATATCATCTGGGTACCCTGTCTTATAAGAATAGAAGGAATAAAATGCAGAAGAGCCGGCCCGTCCGGAAGCAGTTGGTGACACAATTTCCCAACGCTGACCCAGGGCAATCAGCTCCTTCAAGGGTCGTTGGAAGCAAGAGACCCTAGAGGTCCGCTTCAGATCTTGGATGCCAAGCGCGTATCACAAAGCGGTTACTTTGGGGTAGTTTTTAAKGTGCGAACAGACCAAACAACTGCTATTTCTAGGCCAAAGAAAACTTAGTAGCATTGTAGAGGTTATTAGAGAGTACCCACTAGATCACGCCTTTATAAAATGGGGAAAAGTGGATTCGGTATCTTCGTAACTTCGGCCGAATGATAAGGAACATAATCCATGGCTTCYAATACTCAAATTTAAGAGACAATGGACAGCTGGGTGGAAAAGAATCAGGTATTTCACCAAATCCACAGAGTTTCTGAAAAGGCTTTTATTGGTTACCAGCTGGGCGAATAATGGTCTAAGTGAGACCACCTAAGGTACGGTACACATGCGAATCCCTTGTCAAACAACCAACCAAACTGAGAATAAGCATCTTCTTTGCGGTGTGCGAGGCTCTCTAGTAAACCTGCCTCACAAAACAGGGGTTTGGATAAAAATTTACACGATTTTKGAGTGTTGTTCAACTTTTAGTCTCTACTTAGTAAAGGGTGGTTTTTTAGAATATCACGGTGCGCAATAATGTTTTAAAAATGAGCCGTGAGTAGCTCAAATAGATTTCAGCCGAAAAATTTCCATCACTTTTTGTGGTATCCATTGATCATGGAGGCCATGCCACAGACCCAAGATGTGAGATATTGTTCTCATAAAAAGTTTCCTCCAATAAATTAGTCATTGGCTGTATGTTATGTAGCGGCACTTTGTTATAACATCAACATCGTCCAAATTCAGGCACTAAAAAGTCGTTCTCTATAACGTCCTCCATCGACTGTGACATTATAACCGAATACTTCTTTGAAKAAATATGAGCCAGTGATTTCATAAGCCCATAGAACACACCAATAGCGACTTTTTGAGCAAGTAACGGCGTCGCAATATTGGTTTCAATCAAAAATGAACTTCATCGCTGTAAAAAATCATTCCGATAAGATCGAGTTTGGTTGCCATCTCGTTTTGGGGCTATTCACCGAACTTTCGACACACTTGATAATTCTTCGGCGTCATTTCTTCATTTCGCATCATTAATAGACCGATTCTGTAACCTTCTGTAAAAGACAACCCTATTTCAGTCTGCAATACAGTCATCGCACTCGCGACTAGGCTCTAATGTCACTGTTGACAGTCATAACTTAGAAGTGGTAGATA